CAAATGATAATAGACATACTGCTGCTAACAAATCCAAAGCAATTTCTCAAACATTACCGAAGCATCCATTTATGAAATCACCTGGTATAATACATTGATATACCAGTACCTATATTGGTTTAAATATTAGTTTTTTTATTTTAGATGATCATACTCCGAAGCATTTCAAAAATAATATTTCAACTTCGTCAATTAATAAAAGTCCTAAACACAGAATGCATTCAAATCTTATAAACCAGTCTTCACCTTATTTGAGCAGTAAGTTTTAAAATAAATATAAGTTAGGTGCCTAAACTATAAAACTTTACTAACAATATGTTTATATTAACCCTTTGTAGGGCAGAAGGTAAAATATCATCCAATTCTTATAAAATTTGGTATACTTACTCAGTAGGATACAGGTAATTTGGGAAAAATAAAAAAAATTTTTTTTTTTATTTGCATTGCTAAAAAAGATCATGGGAAAATAGTATCCCATTGCCCACTGGGGGAGTTGGGATTAGCTTAGGTATAACAATATGCAAAGATTATAATATTAAGATTATAATATACTATTTTTTTTACCACCATTACCACCATTACCACCAAAAATTAATTTCCTGTGATATTGACTAAAAAATCAAAACATAACTCATATTATAATTATAAGCGGAATTCGGAGGGTTTTTTTTTGGGGGGGGTGGGCATATCTTTTTTATACATTTTTTTTATAATTTTTTTTTGTCTAAATAGTGTATTATTGGAAAAACTGTAATAGTAGCCCCCACCCCAAATTTAAAACTCAAAGTTCACCAAACATTATAATAAACTAATAAAGTATAGTACAACATAGTCATAAGTCATAACATTCTTGTAATAATAATAAAATAATAAAATGTATAACAATTTCAACGTGAAAGTATATTTACCATTCTTTTGGTTTCATTTTATAACAAATTAAAATATAAAAACAGACAATTTAATAGCATACAATTAATATAAAATCATTATATAAATAATTATATAAAATTAGTATCAATTTCAACTCGAAACTAAACTACCAGTCTTTTGGTTTCGTTCATAATACATACTAAACAATATAAAAAATCAGGGCTTGAAACCGAAAAAAAATGTTTCGGTTTCGGATACCGGTATCAATTTTTTCCGATTTCGGTTTCGGTTTCGGATACCGGTATCAATTTTTTCCGGTTTCGGTTTCGGATACCGGTATCGATTTTTTCCGATTTCTGTTTCGGTTTCGGATACCGGTATTCATTTTTTCCGTTTCGATTTCGGTTTTTAACGGTTTTAACCGGTATTCAAAATCAGTATCGAATATCGGTTTTAATCCCTGTATTTATAATAATTTATAATGACATAAAATACTGGCGTAGGAACCTACTTGCCAATCGCCAAACATTGCGTGGCGTACGATTTAGCGTCTGGTTGCCTGACAAGTACTATAGTATTTGCAATCAATGATAATATTTACACTGGAATGAATACGTAATTATGACGTATATAGTTATAGCCTCTCCACTTCATAACACATTTTCCAAATGATTTGCGACCTAATTTTTTAAGAGTTTGTGTAACTTCATCGTTTATAAGTTGAAACTATTTTCTCAATGAGGGGCTAACTTCATGTGTGTCCCACCCACCACATTAATCAAATTGATCACAGCTTGATTTTTTTTTTTTTTTTTTTTTTTATCAATCCTTAGATTGGTTAAATGACTTTGATGGCTCTCCACTTATCCCTATCCATTACAGCTACTTTTAGTTCCTTATAGCTGGTTTTCCCTATATCGTCTATGATCTGTTTCATAAATGGTGTTCTTGGTCTACCTCTTCCAGCTTTTCCTTCTATTTTTCCTTCTATTATTGTCGTTATCCATTCATTATTTCTCATAATATGTCCGATCCATTTTTTCCTCCTTTCTTTGATTGTCTTCCATATTGCTTTTTGTTCGTTCATTCTTAGGTATACTTCTTCATTTCTAACCTTCTCTGTCCAAGCAATTTTCAGTGCTCTTCTCCAACACCATGTTTCAAATGCTTCAATCTTTTTCTTTCCGCTTTTAGTATCGTCCATGTTTCTGCCCCATAGAGGGCTATACTCCATACGAAACTCTTTATAAGATTTTTCCTGGTGTTTAAGCCAACCGTGTTTGCCGTTAACAAGTGCTTCTTTTTGTAAAATGCCTGTTTTGCTTGTGCTATTCTACTCTTTATGTCTACTTCGCTTCTTCCATCATGTGTTATTTTGCTTCCTAGATATGTAAAACATTGAACAGTTTCCAGCTTCTCATTTTCAATCTCTATGTTCGAAAGCAATTCCTGCTTGCTGCATATTAATATTTTTGTCTTGCTCTTATTTATTTTCATTTTGTATTCTTTACAGCTATCATTCATTTTTGTTAACATTTTGCCTAAAGCTTCTTCACTTTCCGCAATCAATGCTATGTCGTCTGCAAAGCGCAACATTTGTACTAGCATACCATTAATTTTAATTCCTCCAATTTCGTCTTCCCTTAATTGCTTTACAGCTTGATTATATTATACCAATCTAGATTAGGTATATTAATCCAATAGAGTATGGTTGGTGGTGGGTTGGTAGGGAGCACATTTTTCAGTCGACGGCTTTTAGGGAAACCCAGACAATATTATGTTAAGGCCTTATAATGTATTATAATAAATTATAAATAATATAAATTATTTATAATTATTGACTCAGTATTTCATAATTTATTGTTGGCTATTGTGTTAATTTAATGTAGGAAAATTATGCCACATACATAGTTATTTCTGTCTTCTGATCGTCTGTGGCGGTAGAAAAACACGACAGCTTATAATATAGTAAATAATAATAGAATTATTGTTATACAATTTTTATCATAGCGTATTTCTGCGTATACTGTTTTCGAATACGACTATACGATTAATCCATTTACCAAAATAATATATAATATATAAATATAATAATTATTATATTGCGTATAATAATAATATATTATGCGTCTAATAATTTATATACCCTGTGAAATTACCTATTCAAACATACGGGTGCCCGCAGACGAAGACTACTGCACCAGTGCAGCTAGACCTACTTACATAATAATCTATTATTATATTATAAAATATTTATTATAATAATATAATATATTAGGCACCATTAATCATTATTAATATCAATTGTATTACTGCAGAACTCAGAAAGTATACATAATAATATAAATATCTATATAGGTAGGTACTTTCGAGTTAATATTTCAGAATCCAGTAAAAAACTAAGTAAAACTAAGTAAAAAAGAAGAAGGCATAGCACATGACCTAGGCTACAGGTCTAATAAATGGACCAAATTAATAATTTTTAATAATATTATTATAAACGCGCCATGGAAACGGCAGTATAAATATTATAAACTATTAAAATAAATAATAATATATAATATGTATATGATAATTTATAAAAACTAATAATATACCAAAATACTATGTCAACTCCATGTAAAAAAAATTTAATTTAATTTAATTTTTCGTTTTGCGCACGGAGTAAACAATTACCCCAGACGTGTTAATACAGTATATTAATAATTTAATATGATAATTTATAAAAGACTAATGAACTTTAACTTAGCATAGTTATTTTTTATTTAAGGATAACTTAACTTTAACTAGTTAAAAAAATTGGTTAACTTGCCCAGCTTTGCCATCATCCACATGATGTTATAATAAATAATTATATCTTATAAGTTATAATATTATATTTAATATTGATCGCATTGTATGATAGAAGGATAGAACAAATTTACATAATACACACGATATTTATTATTTTCTACCATATGCATTATAAATTATATTATTCATAGCTTTTAAACAGAAATTCAACTATAGCCTATAGGTTTATTTTAAATGCGTAGAACTTTTTAAATGTTAGATATTATTAATGTTATAATTTTTCAACTTCCGTTTCGGATATCATGTTATTTCTTAAGATTTCGTCTTAAGTTTCAAAAAACGGTATTATTTTTTCCAATTTCGATTTCGGTTTCAGATATCGGTATTTATGTTTTCAGATTTCGGTTTCGGTTTTGGATATCGGTATTTATGTTTTCCGATTTCGGTTTCGGTTTCGGATACCGGTATTTATTTTTTCCGATTTCGGTTTCGGTTTCGGAAACCGGTATTGATTTTTTCCGTTTTCGGTTTCGGTTTCAGATACCGGTATCGATTTTTTCCGATTTCGGTTTCGGTTTTGGATACCGGTATTATTTTTTTCCGATTTCGGTTTCGGTTTCGATTTTGGTTTCGGTTTTTAACGGCTTAAACCGGTATTCAAAACCGGTATCGAAAATCGGTTTCAAGCCCTGTAAAAAATAAGTAAAATTTAAAAATAGAAAAACTCATTAGCATAACATTCTAATATGAATACTTATATAAAATTAGCATAAAATTAGTATCAATTTCAACTTGAAATTAAATTACCAGTCTTTTGGTTTCGTTTCTAATACATTCTAAACAATATAACAAAAAAGTAAAATTTAAAATTAGAAAAACTCATTAGCATAAAATTCTAATATGAATAATTATATAAAATTATCATACAATTAGTATCAATTTCAACTTGAAATTAAACTACCAGTCTTTTGGTTTCGTTTATAATACATTCTAAACATTATAACAAATAAGTAAAATTTTAAAAATAGAAAAACTCATCAGCATAAAATGTATATACTAACACTGTATAGTTTAAAAATAACAATTAATTAGTTTTATGATAGGGTTCATAGCAGTCTTTACATAATACTACATCACAGGTAATGCACATCATATTAGATCGTTTTTATTTTTTTCTCATACTGCACAACTTACAACGTCTATATGATTGTATATACTTTGGTACATTTTCAACAGCAGATTGTTTAAATTTTTTTTTTGCACCTTTTTCTTGTGGAGATACAGTAGTTTTTTTTCTACAGCTAAAATTATTGACTAAGGTATCTGTAAGCATTGATCTATATTCCAACTGTGAAACATATATTTTTTTTTGCTTTATTACAACTCTCTTTGTACAAGATATAAGAATTGACAATTGCAGTATCAATAAAATAGTAAAACAATTTGATCCACCATCTACGAGATTTTTGTGATATAGTGTAAGCAGCCATATATTGATCGAATTTGTCTACTCCGCCCATATATCTATTGTAATCAGATATACCAGTTGGACAGGAAACAGGAACTTTTTCACCTTTAGAATTTCGTCTAAGTACAACACAATGTTCTGCTGCATTATGCATATTGCTTATCAGTGTAACTGGCTTAGAACCTCTGTCTTTCCAGCGCATAACACTTATATCATTGCATTGAGCATACTCTATATCTCCAGAAGCATATTTATTATCTTTCTTCATTAGGTTTTTAGGATAAAACTTTTTGTTAGTTCTGAATGTGCCACAAGCAAAAATTCTATATTCTAAAAGTTTTGATATCAAAGGTATACTTGTGAAAAAGTTATCAAAATAAACACAATAATATAAGTTTTTTAAATTTCCACATAGGTTTAAAACAACATTTTCACCTAAACCGAATTCTGGTTTACCGTTAGTCTTTTTCCCAGTGTACACATCAAAATTTAGCAAAAATCCACTAGCTGAATCAGCCAATGCCCAAATTTTAAACCCTCGTTTTATCGGCTTATTTGGCATGTACTGCTTCATGGTAGAACGTCCTTTAAATGGCACCATACTTTCATCTACAGCTACATGCCTAGATGGTTTAAATATAGATAGATATTTATGTTGCAAATGAGATATGAGTGGACGGATTTAATAAAGTTTGTCAAAATGTGGAGAATCTCTTAGTGGCATATTTAAACTATTGTTTAGGTGAAGATAACGAAGAAGTTTCAAAAATCTCTTTACAGGCATTATTTTGGCTATTCTTTCGCAATAAAAGTTTTGGTCAGTTGACCAATAAAGCCTTATACTCGGAAGGGAATGATAACCCATATAAATGAGCATACCGATAAATGCTTTAATTTCATCAACATTTGTATTTAAATTAGCATTGTGTTGAGTAGCATATAAATTGGATTCTTCAACAATTGTTTCAAACATTGGTTCCATTATCATTAAAAAAAATGTCAATTGGTTGTAATTTATAAATATTTTTATCTATAGGTCCTTGGATTTCTCTAAAACGACAGTTTTTGAAAACTGTAATAGAACATCCTATTTTAGTAAAATGATTATATTCACTAAAATTACCACCACCATCTTCTTCTTCACAAACTTCGCTTGTCAATAATTGATCATCATCATCAATATCAATTATATTACATAATATATTATCATTTTCAAATTCATCATTTCCACCAATGAAATCAAAATCAAAAACATAATCTGGAAATGCCTGGTCAAAGTCTTTAATCAAGTCCTTATTTGTTTCTATTGAACTTTGATTGTCAGAATTATTTTCATATTGCTCTAAAATTAATATAAATATAAACTATTAATTTTATTTTAAAAATAGATATACTTTGGTATGTTTTCAATTAATTTCATTGTAATAAACAAATAAAATATTTTACTATGCATAAAATATAATTTATCAAATTAATATAAACTTAACCTTTATATTATAAGTTCTAGTTTTTTTTTTTAAATTTAATCAATCATTTTAATATGGTGTTTACTCATATTTGGTTATACAAGTATTTAAATTTTAAATTAAATAGTATTCAATCAATAGAAAGTATCATAATTAAAAAAGAGAAAAGGTAAAAATGTTTTTGAGATATTTTACATTTAAAACATTTTACTTATAACAAAAATACATTATAGTGATGTATTATTTTTAGTTACATGCATGTGTGTTAGTAGGTACTCAACCTATCTGAATACCTATAATATAATATAATTATACTATGTACGTTCTAATACCTAATAAATATAGAATCTGATTGAATATGATGTAATCAGTACATATTATATGTTTTATAATTTGTATGTAGTATACAAATACACAATACTATATAATATAGGTCCCTACTCTTGGAATGTAAATTATATAAAACAAAACTAATATACCAACCTTCTGAAGTAGAAGCTTCTAAATCAATTTTTGGTGGAACTCTCAAAAAAGATGGACTGTGAACAGGTTCTAGTGTATTCGGTGTTGACTTGACATTATTAGGATCTGCATCTTGGAATGTAAAATCTATTTTTTAATAAATTATATAATACAAAACCAATATACCAACCTTTTAAAGTAGATGTTATTTTATGAGCTGGAACTCGAAAAAAAGATGTGTCAACAGGTTTTATTGCAGTTGGTGTTGATTTTACATTAAGATGGAAATCTTCTGCATCCGAATCGCCTCCTTCGTCTGAATCAAATGCCATTGAGTCAGATATACTATTTAATTGAAATATGATGTCTTCTTCAGTAAGACCACGAGGCATCTACATATTTTTACCAAAAAATTAAATGGTTATAAGTATATTTTGTAACCATAGAGAAATTATACATGGAATACATATCATATAATATATTAGTATATTACAGAATTACAACAATATATTGGTATAAAATTATAAATATTTTCTTAGTGGATAATAACAAATACTAAGTTTTTATATTTTCTAAAACTACATATTATGGTTGATTGAAAGATACTTACATTAATGATTTTGAGGTGAAGTTTGAATAAATTTTGACTGTTTTAAAATAACATGTTTATTTGCTTGATAATAAAAAAATATTTTGATTATCACTTTTATCATATTAATTTTTAGCGGGTAATTTAAGTGATAACACCAACAAATAGCGGGAATTGTATTGATTGTTATAACATAACCGTTGTTACCATTGGTTACTTATAATATTTGATAATATTTAAAAACTAATATAAAATTTGAAAAATAAAACAGTTATGATAAATTAAATACATGGTATGGGCAATGGGAATATATCATCCCATTGATATCGATCGCGACTATTTCTGACGATTGTGTTGCTCTTATCATAGGTAAACCTTATATAAAAATTGCGCACAATATATCGAAGATTAATTCAGTGCAATCGATAAGTAAATAGTAATAAACCACAAGGAGTAAACATTTTTTTCCCGTTATGGGAAGTATAGATCCCAGTGCCCTATAAAGGGTTTTAAGGGTCATATTTATAAAATTTGTTTCATTTATATTTTGATAATTAGTAATATTGATTTCTTCTAAGTATATTTTATATTTAATAGTTATTTTTAATACATTTTTCAGCACAATTAAAAAGATCTCAATCTAATAAAAATGAAAATGGTTCAGAAAATGGTTCAATTACAGTTATCAATAACTATAATGACCTTTCTGCAAGTAGCTTAACAGAAAACAATAATGTGGTTTTATCTCCATCACTGTTGATTTCTCCTGTGACTCCACCTAATTCAAAAATTAATTCCGTAGCAAGAAATCTCTTTCCATCCAAATCTCCGGCCATGCAGCCAAAAAAAGGTAAATTATTGTATGTAAAATTAAATTTACATTTGAATGTATTATTAAATGGTAATTTTATGTATATTTGTTCTTGTAATACATTTAATTTGTACTTGGATGTTATTTGTTTGAATTTATTTTTAGTTGGGTATGATAAAACTTCACAGCTATATGTCGTTACAAAACTGACAGAAATGAATACCAAAATAAACAAACTCGTTTTGGATATGTCTAGGCAAGAGGAATTACTAAAATATGTTTTAAAAATTGTTGAGTTTCAAGATAAAAGTATTGATGATAATGATGACTATGGCGATGATATTTTTCCTGAAGGATTTCCTATTGACGACTTAGACTCTTTAAGAGAAATTAATATTAGTCTAAAAAATGATGATGTGTTCCGTAAAAAACTGGTATGTATAGTCCATATTATATAATATATATACATTTTAATTATTATACTTCATATTTTTAGATAAAAAAGTTAAAATGCTACCATGGTTCAAACATTGGGAAAGTAACTAAATCAATTATGGATCTAGTATTTACAAATAATCTTGGAAGACAAGTATCCTTAGCAGGCAAAGGTCCAATGAACAAAAAAGAAAAGGAACCTCTCAAGTCTTTATTTCTTTTTAAAATAATTATAAGTGAGTAGGTATTATTTTATTAAAATGTATGTCTTAAGTGTGTTTAATATTTTTTGATCTATATATTATATTATTATAGATGCTATTCTCAAAAACGTTAAAAATTCCAGCGTCTCTTCTGCACACAAAGCAGTATCGGGGTGGCTAAAACATGCAAAAGAACGGTATGAAAGACATATTGTCAACAACAGTCCAATTGATAATTCTCAAGACTCTTAATTTTGAAAATATTTTCATTTTATTTAAAGAACATGTTTTGTTTTAATGCTAATTGAATCATTTTTCTATTTAAATTTATTATTTAACATAATACTTCTATGCAAAAAATATTTTATGATTTTTCATGTTAACAACTGGTAAATTAATTGTATTTTCATAGCAGCAAATTATTATTATTTTTTTAATTATATATTATTTATAAGTAATTTTTATTGTTTATTGTAGGTAGATGAGAATTTGATTATGTATTATATTTATTCTCTGTTATTGATAGTTAAAACATTTGGCACCAGGATCTTTTATTAATATAATATAATAATGTAATAAATTAATTTAAATTGAATAATGTTTAACATAAAACTTATGAATTTATTGTATTGATTTTGTATGATTATCCATTTTGTTGTACCTCAAAATGCTCTTGTTATATTAATTAATTTAGGCACTTAATTGTTTTATCTATAATATAAGCAGCTGGTACATATATTATATATCTATTGTTTTCATGTTTTCACAGCACTCGTCCTCATTATATATTATATTAAATACATTAATTATGTGAATATTTTTGCATCAGTAACTTATAAGAATACATCATATTTTTATTAATTGGAACAATGATAATTTTTTATTATAATAAAGTATTCACAGTTAAACTTATACTTGAGTAATACATCATCAGAGTATTTTTGAAAGCACTAAAAAGAACATGTTAACTTAAATAATAGGTATTAAAAGATATTAATAAGTATCTTTTTTTCATTGTTAGGAAGAATACTAGCTGTTCTCTTTTTTGGAAACTACTAGGAATTTTTCAACAGCTATTGAAAGGCAGTTTGGAACTAAATAGGTAACAATTAGGAACTAAAACGACTGATATAGGACCTTGTTTGGCAACAATTAAGACCTCAATGGGCATTAAAATTGACCTAATTAGGTAATATAATAAAGGGTCGTATTAGGTCCCTATTCGGAAGGTCGTGTAAACGGTCTGAACTCGGACGTTTGGAAGTCTATAGACCGTGCCAAACCAGGTTAATGACCAAACCAGGAGCATCCCGTTATGGTATATGCTGCCTGAATAGACTGTCCCAAGACCTTCCTTGGAGGGTTCATGTGCTATTAGGGCTGTTCCAATATTAAAGGTAAGAACGAAGAAGACTTTGAAATAATTCTCAACTCGGGTTTTTAGGTCCGAAACACTTTTATTATATTAAAACAAACATAAATGAAACACTTAGCAAATTCAAATTGCCTAGCCCGTACTACGATCGACGTTTCATACGTACAACCGTCGTACCTTACGTCCTCGCAGAATCATTCAGCGACAACGGGACCCTCGTGCCTACGCGTACGGCGGTTTTATATAGTAAAATCTTATTGCTGCCTCAGCACATATTGCTTCACTGACCTATGTCAATAGTTTACAATTTAAAATGTTCCCACCTCTATTACATATGTCATATATAATATATATTAATTAATAATATCTTGACGACTGTCTACAATATACGACAGTCCCCATTGTTTTTTGAAAAAAATGCCCTCATTTTTTAATGATGTTTCTACATACAAATGTCTTATTACTACATTAAATACAGTCGATTCCGCTTAATAGAGACACCGGTTAATAAGGACAGCCGCTTAATAGGGACAATTCTTCAATTACAAAAACAAATGTATACTTGTAGGGTAAACATTCACCGCTTATTTGGGCCACGAATCCGGATAATTGGGACATTTTTATCGAGTATATTAATAGATCAATAGTTCAACAATCGTGACGGACTCTAGTAATCGATTATTACATTACATTTTATCTTATTTAACTTTATTTTATCTTATCTTTTATTGTATGTTCAAATGTGATAGTTGTTAAATGTTATTTGGTGCAATGGTGCATCAGTCGTGTTTGTCGCATGTAGCAACGATGGCTCGTGAACATAAAGATTTATCGTTTGCTCAAAAATTAGAAATTCTGGACAAAATTAAATTACAGCTACCAGGCTGTAATACACGACGTCTTTCGGAAATTTTAGGAGTACCAAAATCAACAGTTTTTTTTAAAAAAGATAAAATACATAATAAAAAAATAAAAAATATTTATATGTACTTTATATGTAAGTATTTTTATAAATAACTAGCAGACCCGGCGAACTCCGTTTCGCCACCAGATTCGTTTTATGTTTTTTTTCGTTTGGTGATTAAAATATAAAGAAAAAAAATTTTTTTTGTTATATATTTGAAAAGGAAAATATTTATTTCATTTCACAACAGTAATAAATTCATTTCAATTACCTACTAAAATGAAGTGTTATTTAATTGTTTCATTGTAGTGCTCTTTGGTAAACCACATTTTTTGTTTTTTGGTTTGACGTTAACACAAACAAAGCGGATGATTTCCCAACTCGTGAACACGCAACGTATAACTGTCCATGTGAAAAACAATGATTCCTACTTCAATCAGTAGCTTGTTTGCAATAGTCAAGCATTGATCCTCAATCAGAATCAATCCTTCATTGTAGATTTCATCGGTTATTTGGATGTCAGGATTATTCGTTTGAATACGCAAGCGATGCAAGATATCTTCACATATGGCGTCTTTGTATTTGTTCCATAACTGAATTGGTTGTGAAGGAAAACATGTGGTGATGATAATTGCGAACAGCGTTCGTATTTGGTACGCATTTGATGAAACAACTGAATCTGCAAGTGTTAAATCCCAATGAGAATCGTTCTCCAGCAAACCCAATAGTTGACATGCTTCTCGATATGTTTGGCATTGGTGGCCATTCACAGTTTTCAAATGCGCAAATGATTTCGGTCCACGTACATTTACTAACAGCAGTCGCAAATAAAAAACATTCATCGTTTCTAGGATGAACAGTGTACATACGACCTATCGACCTATATCGTTTTGTGCACTTTCCATCAGCCATGCAAGGCGATAATGGATTTAATGCACCGCACGGTCCATGCACCATCTGTGTCGTCACAATGTCGTGTAGACGGGGATCAGTGACTGGATCAGGAATTTCAGCTGATATGATGTCATCCACTTCATTTGAATGTAATTTGTTCAGCAACCAAATTAGGATATGAGCATGCGGTAGTCCACGCTTCTGCCATTCCACCGAGTACATATAACAACGTGTGTCACCAAAAACTCGATACTTAGTAAGCACATCCATCATAACCTTGAGTTTTTGCTGAAATACTCTGGCGATTATGTCATGGCGATCTTGCGGTTTTTGACCTGGTTCCAATTCGCGTTCAATTTCCGTCCACTTCGGATTGCATGTGACCGTAATAAATAAATCCGGAGTTCCATAATTTCGCACGTACGTCATAGCGTCTTGAGCGTATTCGTGCATGTGGCGTGGGCTTCCGATATAAGTTGATGGGAGAACCGTCAGTCGTCCAATATTCTGAACATCACCATCTGAATGAATAGCATCACGCAAGTGTATATAGTCCTCAGATCGTAGCTTTGGCTGATTGAATCTGATGAACGCTAAACGTTCGGTCTCGACTTTGACATACATGTCGACAGCGAATTGCTGGAATAGCCGACCGCACTTCAGAATGACATTCTCCTCATGTGTACGAATCATCATACGATACGCATAGTAATTCATTGCGCTTAGATTTTTATTATTCGTTGATACTCCTGAAAATGCAAAATTAAATGAATTGTTAATGGAAACCAATAAAAGTAATAATGGAAATAATTAGTGTGTGAATATTGTACCTGTAATTGGATCGACCATCTTCAACGTGATGTCGTATCCGTCTTGCCCTTGCCAATAAATGATTGGATATTGTAACGCATCGTACAAACGATGTGTCTCGTTTACACGATGCATGATATTGCTTCTTCGCTGAACGACAATGTCTCGTGATTTAGTTGGATCGCCAACAATAATTGCAGCAACATCATTAACGGTGGGTGCATTGAATCTTCGCACATGTTCACCTGTTGGAGTACAATCCGCTCTTATTACAAATTTGTGCGTATCCGATGGCATTCGTTCCAATGCTGTTTTGAACATATTAACCACAGCATTATTAGCGTGAAAAAATGCTTGCAACTGTTCAATAATTCGTCTCTTTAACTGTTGTGCTCCCTGTATATTGCACCGCACGTTCAGCTGATCCACCATCGACGAAATGAAATATATTTGCAGAAATTGATGCGGTTCATCTGGCACCATTGAACCATGCAAATGATATATTTGACCTTGTATCTGTAATTGCAAATAATCATTAAAATTTGTTCATGAATACCTTTTAAATCGTTTGATTGTGTAGTGTGTGGTGTATATGAAGTTGTTATGTGTTGCAATTATGTGTTGGTTATGTGTGTTGTATCTTTTACCTTGCAAGTCGGCATGAAGCCGCCTTCTCGAATGATATTAGCTCCAAAGGAAGTCATGCGAAAGCAGTTATTGTATTCAAGGATGTGTTGAAGAAAATGGCTGGAATCGGGATCACTTCCATCAAACAATGTTTTCAGTGGATGTGGTGGTGTAAGTAATGGATCCAGTTTGACTTTTCCAAGACCTTTCCAACGAATGCAAAACCGTGGAAATCGGTTCGTGCGTTCTCGAGTTATAGCGTCAGGGAGGAAAACCGGACTTATTTTTATATAATAGATTAGGTTATATCATGTTTTTCTTTTTGTACTATCAAATAATTTCTATAATACATTGTTTGTAATTTGTAATAATAAAAATATATAAAACAAATCAGTTTTTCAACAAATTTATACAGAGTGTAACCGATAGAACTGACTTTTGGAATAACTTTTTTTCTAATAAATTTTTTATTTATCATTTATAGACCCTAGCGCTACATGTATAATTTATTTTTTCCTTTGTTTATTTTTTAGTACTGAAAATAAAAAAATTTAAATTAAATTAAATCTTTTTATAACATATTCAAAATTTCCATTTTTTAAGAATATTATTTTTAAGGATTGCAGCGTTTAAATTTTGAAG